GATGGATAAATGCACGTGAGATAGTCAGATAGAGAGATAGATAGATAGATAGATAGAGGGAGAGGGATACATAGAGAGATAGAGAGCTGGATAAATAGAAAAATATACAGATAGAGAGACAGATAGATAGATAGATAGATAGATTGCTTGATGGATAGACAGATAGATAAATAGATTGATAGATCGATAGATAGATAGATACGCGGGAGATAGATGGAGAGATAGATAGAAAGAGATAGAGGAAGAGATAGAGAGATAGAAAGAAAAAAAGATAGAGAGGTAAATAGAAAGAAAGAGAGATAGAGACGCGAAATAGATAGACAGAGAAATAGATAGATAGATAGATAAATAGATAGATAGATAGATAGAGAGATAGAAAGAGAGAGATAGATAAATAGATAGATAGATAGATAGGTAGATGGATAGAGAGATAGATAGATAGATAGATAAATAGATAGATACATAGATAGATAGATACATCGATAGAGAGGTAAATAGATAGATAGACAGAGAGAGAGATAGAGGGATTGATAGAGAGATGGATAGATAGAGAGATAGGTAGATATATAGATAGAGAGATAGAGGTACATATAGACAGATAGACAAGATAGATAGATAGATAGATAAGCAGATAGATAGATAACACGAGAGATAGATAGATATGTAGTTAGGTAGATAGATAGGTAGAGAAAGATAGATAGACAAGCAAACGAAAGAAAGAAATAGAAAGAAGGAAAGAAGGGAGGAAGGAAAGAAAGGAAGAAAGGAAGAATGACGGAGAAAAAAACCAATGAAAAGAAGGAAGAAGAGAAAAAGAGTCAAGAAAAGAAGGAGAAAGATAACTATAGTTTTTTTTATATTTTTTGAAACTTCCGCCCACCGGCTTCGCCGGCTCTACTGGTAATATTATTGGTGGTTATATTAAAGTAACATGTCTCTTTCAAAGTGCGTTGTTTGAACTTTGCATGCTCTTTTGATTTTTTCGTTCTTTGGCTGTTTGTATTTATTTTGTTTGATACTCTTCTGATATTTTTCTTGTTATGCTGCTTTGAAATTTGTTAGTGTGTGTGTGTTTGAGTTTGTGTTCTTTGATGGCTTTTAGTTTTGCTGTTTTGTTGGTATGCTTGTTTGAATTATTTACTGTTGTATGCTGTGATGTTATTTGTTGATTGTCGGTTGTTCTTATTTATTTATTTTGCTTGTTGTTCTTGTTTTTGTTTGCTATTTGATGTGTTGCTGTTATACAACAAATAGTAAATAGGACAATTCCTTGAACTGTCCTCTTACTATTTTTGGGGGAGGGGTGGGGGGTTGTTGTTTGAATGATATGGGTTTTCGGGGGATTGGTGTGTGTGTGTGTGTGTGTGTTGTTTTTGTGTGTTTTTGAGCGATTTTGCAATATATTGGTTCAAGCCTGGTTAGATGGTATATATTGAAGCGAGGTAGATAGCATGAATAAGCCATCTCATGATCAGCTTGCTGTATTTGTGGCCATGTGCATTTACATTTAATTTCCACTTGGAAACCAAACACTGCCTGCACGGCGTTGGAAATTGATCTACGGGGTCTGTTGAGGTTCACTGGCTTGGGGCCCATTTGGGACCACTCATGTCTAACCTCAATTGTCATGGCAGAGCAGGTTTTCTGAAAGCAGGATGTCAAATGAAGAGGAGTCTCTATGTTAGCTGGCTCCGGTATGAAGATCTGGCAAGGGATTGGATCGCTGTCACTCGTCATCGCATTGCGTCGGCAGGGGGGGTAGCACTTTTTGTGCCTGAAGACGAAGACAAATTCCGAAGACACATTGCCCAGAAGCAGACCTTGAGCCCAGCCACCCGCCTGAAGACGCGAAGACGAATCCTCTCCAACGACGACATCCCCCCTGAAGATGAATTCCCCCGCGAAGACGAATTCGCCTCGAAGCCGAATCTCCCCCGAAGACGCACTCGTTGTTCATGAGCATTCACCTGATGAATGCTGCTACAAGGAGACAACAAAACTAACCAACCCACATGGGAAGCGTGCTGCGCAAATCAACCTGACCTGAGCGTGGCTATCCGACGCGCCCCCCAGAAGGACTTCTCAAACTCGCAGGTAATGATTCCGTTGCGAAGAACAAAGCCTATACACTGGTCCACGCTTCAGCGGATTCTTCAGTCCACCGGAACTGTCAGCTACACGGGCCTCCAGTGACGAGACTCAAGTGACTCAATGTTTCAACGTTGAATCTGAGAATTTGGAGCGACCGCCAGTTTGTCCTTGCAACAGAAAGAAAGGTTCAGTCCTTCTTGGAGTTTTGCAAGAGCCCTGCGCGCGACTTGTGTCCGACGGAATAGTCAAGCCAGTTGCCCACGACGCCTTCGTAGCCGCTGGGTACACCGGTGTGGCGCTTGCCCAAGCAGGTCAAAGGAGACAGCGCTAGCCATGTGGGCCTCATCCATCGGTGCTCGGTGGTATACTTATTGTAAACGCTTCGCGTTGCCCGCCTCGGCCCAGCCTAGTTTGAGGGAAGGGTCAGGAACACCGTGTTGGGAAGGTCCGAATACCTGAAGCTGGCTCCAGACAAGTCAGACAAGCCGGCCTTGCCTGGTTGGGCTGGGCCACAGGCTAGTCTCAGACACATCAGATAAGCCTGCGCTGGGCCTGAAGCTAGTCTCGGGCAGCTTGGCTGGACCTTGCTTGCGTGGGTTGTTGGTTGAGCTGAAGCTAGTTTACGGCGGGCTGGGCAGCCGCACTGAGGGGGCTGGGCTATGGCTGGGCTGGGCCTGAGGCCAGTTTCAGACACGTCAGACAGGCCTGGCCAGCAGGCGGACTGGGCTGGGCTAGACGCTAGTTGAGCCCAGGCTGGTGAGGCCCAGTCTCGGCGCTAGATAGGCTGAGGCCTGCGAGTCTCAAACCGGGTGGGCTTGGGTGGGGTTGGCTTAGGCGGGTTGCTGGTTGGGCTGGGCCTGAAGCTAGTCTCAGCCACGAGGCTGCGAAGCCATGGGTGGTGCTGGGCAGCTGGATTATGGTGTTGGTTGCGCCTGGAACTTCGGCTGGCTGGGCTGAGCTGTGCTTGGGCGGGTCGCTGGATGGGCTGAGGCTGGGTAGCGAGTTGCTGGCTAGGCTGGGCCTGAGGCCAGTCGCAGACACGTAAGACACGCCAGCAGGCGGGCTGAGGGACTGGGCCTGAGGCTAGTCCTGGCATACCTTCAGTCTCAGACTGCGCCGAAGGGGCCTGGTCAGCCTGGGCTGCTGAGTAGCTGGCATAGCTTGAGACCAGTCTCAGACACGTGAGACCGGTTTTGGCACACTGGGCTGAGCCTGGGAGCTGGGGGCCGGTAGTGGCTGGCATGCCCTGAGATGCGCTGGGCCTGGGCTGGGCAGGCTTTGGGCTGGGCCTGAAGCTAGTCTCAGCCACGAGGCTGCGAAGCCATGGGTGGGTTGCTGGCTGCCGGGCAGCCGGACCAGGCTGCTGGTTGTGCCTGGAACTTGGGCTGGGCGGGCTGGGCTGAGCTGTGCTTGGGCGGGTTGCTGGATGGGCAAGGCCTGTTTCACACACACTTGGGCCTGAGGCTGGGTGGCGAGTTGGCTGGGCTGGGCCTGAGGCCAGTCTCAGGCTGGCGTACTTAGGAGGTCAAGGCCTGGCCAGCCTGGGCTGCCGGACTGAGGGGCTGGGGCACGTCAGACGGGCTTGGTGGCTGGCATAGCTTGAGACCAGTTTCAGACACGTGAGACTGGGTTGTTGGCGTTAGACAAACCTGACCTTGGGCCTGGGCTGGGCGCTGGGCTGGGCTTGCTGGATGACTTGGGGTAGGCCTGTTTCAGACAAGCTTGGGCCTGAGGCTGGGTGGGGCTAGCAGGCGGGTTGCTGGTTGGGCTGGGCCTGAGCCTAGTCTCAGACACGGCAGGCCTGGCCACCAGGAGGTCATGCTTTTCAGGACGAAAAAGCATTTTTTTATTGATTTTCGCAATTGTCAGCACATTTTCGACAAAAATGGACCCATGGAGCTGGACGCCGACGAACCCCGAAAATTTCAAGGCCCGCCGGACAGGATTTTGGGTCCAGCCGGGGGAGGGGAAAAGCGAAGATTCTGTTTGGAGATTGGCCCCTTTGGGATCTTCGTGGCTTCTAGAGTTTGGCAAGGACACTAAAATATTTGTACATCAATCCAGGCCTGGCGATCCTGCGTCCGTCAAACAATCTCGAAAAGAACACATGTTAGATCCACCATTCAAGGATGTCCTTCTCAGCGGGTCCGGAGATGACGCCGATTGGGTACTGCTACCAAGATTCCTGCAGTTGCAGAAGTTCAACCTTTTTGTGAAGGCCGCGTTCTTCACCTCAACTTCGGAACTCAGGCGCGTGTTGCGAAACCTGAACAGACGAGACAAGGGCGAGTTCAGGCGTTCCTCACAGCGGGCGAGATTCCTCAACAGAGGTGAAGCTCCTGATCGATGTAGTGACTGCGGACCGGAGATGCAAGTTCCGTGCGCAAAGTGGCCAGCAAGCATCAAAAGATCCAAGATGCCATTGAGCTTGTCATGGAGTCGCCCATGGAAGCGTTCAGCTGGATGCTCTCGAGATTTCCGATGAGTATGCGGCACCTCTCAGGTTCGTCATTGACTCTTCTCGGAAAGAATTTGGTCCTGGTTTGTTTCTTGTTTTGTGCGTTTAATTCCACACATCCACGCATGAGCGCAGGTGCCAACATTATGGTTCAAGCCTGCGTGGCGATTGAGTATTTAGCGTTAGAAGAGAAAAGGGAACTCGCCGCTTGCTGTATTCTGGCCACTTGCATTTACGATCAATTCTTTGTGGAAACCAAACACTGCATTGTTTATTGGCGTTAGTTGGCCTCCACATGGTCTTGCGTTGGAATAAACCTACAGGGCCTATTGAAGTTCACTGGATTGGGGCCCATTAGGACCCCCTGATTCCAACCCTGGGGGGCGACTCACCCTCCCCCCCCGCAAGCCCGTCCTTGTGACGTCATCAGCGAGAGTGCTGTCACCTGGAGGCTTTCCAGGTGTGCCCACCCGAGCTCCAATCCATGCTTGCGGGTGAGCTGAAGAACGGTGTCATCGCGCAGACCTCGGGGCTAATCTTGCGTTGCATTCTTTGAGCAACAGAAGCACGCACAAGCAGCTCTCTTAAATCCTTCCCATCTGTGCTGCTTCTAGGATTGCATCAAAAGCATGCACGGCAACCATGTCGCCGACAGCTGAGCGTACCATCTAATTTCGGACTGCGGCTGTTTGAGATTAACCACGAGGTCCAGAAGTGCATTGAGCAGATGCCGCCAGAGTCTGTGTCATTTGTGGTGGAAGCTGTGGAGGCCTGTCAGATACTTTGGGTCTCAACAGCGAGGGTGAGCCACGTCTTGAGGACAAGGCAGAGGCTATGGCTGCTCACATCTATGGCTGCCGCATCATTCAGCGGTTGCTGGAGTCCAGAGCTTGAACAGCAATGGCACACCGGCTGTGTTGGTGTGCTGCTTTTGCCCATCATTGGCACTGAGGCATTGCACACCAAAGCGATTGGAGAGGATGCTGCAGCAGATTCTTCGTAGTTCTTTGCTTATGGGAAGCAGTGTAAATGCCGTTTCATGCCTTAAGTTTGAAGACAACGACAACTGGCCCAGGTATCAGGAAGTTGTCGACAGATCCGTATGGCAATTATGCAAGGAGCTTGGCGATGTGCAATTGTGTTATGGTAAAGCGATTGGCCCCAGAGACATGCGAGCGCAACTGAGGTTATTCGTCACATCCTTGAGCACGGAAACCCTGAGCACAAAAAGCACTTGCCTTGGCACCAGGACATGACGACATGATATGTGAGTGACCACGCAAAGTCCGTTTCTTAGGTGCATCGTGAGCGAAGTCTGCAACCACGCCAGAGCCAAAGAATCCAAAGAATCCAAAGAATCCAAAGAATCCAAAGAAGGAACAGCTCTTGGCAGCTCTCTCAAGGTGCTCGAGTTGGGCAAAGACAAGCATGCCAGCAACGTCGTTGAGAAGTGCTTTGAGGTGACTTGAGGTCCTTCGAGTCGCAAAGACTTGAGTTTCTCTGCGAGGCCTCGACAACCGGCGAGCATGCCGCCACCCCGGATCTCGAAATATAATCAGAATGCACGGACATAAGGATGAGCCAAGTCTCAGAGTGATTCTGTTGCAAAGCCAGCCAAGCGTCCAAGCGTCCAAGCGTGGGATGTGATTCCATCAGGCAGCCTTCCTCAAGGACGAGCGTCAACGCCTCATCCGCGCAGTGCTTGGGCCCGTGCCGAAGGTGCTCGCCTTAGCGCCTTAGCGCCTTAGCGCCTTAGCTCGCCTTAGCGGCTTAGCGCCTTAGTGGCTGAGATCTGTGCGGCCTGAGAGGATCCCACGGACCGCTCCTCGCCGCTGGTCCAGCTGATGGACGACAGGCACGACTCTGGTCTCCTGACATGAATAGATCAATTGGGTGCAATTGGGTGAATGCGGCCAGGGACAATCCCATTGCTTCCAGGTTCGGCAAATATGTGGCGAACAGCCTGGTGGAGTACAGTCGAGGACCTGAGGCCGGGATGCCTGGAGCGTCTGAGTCTCTGAGTCTTTGAGTCGTAGGAGATGAAGGTCCTCTACAGCCGCATTGCTTCAGCTCCAGGGCCGGATGCGGACTGTTGCTGTATGGGCATGAGGTTTCGACTTGTGGCGGTCAGGAAAAAGGCGAGCATCACTTCGTTGCTGGAGATGCCGCTTGGCGACATTTGGATGTTCTGTGGACATAAGAGCGGGCTGAAACCCTCTTCATCATTGCACTCAATCAGAAATGCTTGGCTTCGCTTTGGCAGTCACTACAAAGAAGAAGCCCAGACTGCTCAGAAAGCTTGGAAGTAGTTGTCTCAATCTCAATACTATGTTATTTCCATGTATCCACCCAGAAGCACGGATTGACGTTGTGCCCTGTGACACTGCAGCACCGACTCTGTAGACTCTCGCTGGAGTCTCACGACTGGCCCGCTCCGTATGTGAATCATTGAGCCTGGACTCCGTTGAAGCAGATGGAGGATGTAAAAGCCCGGTCCAAACATTCACGGAACACAAGTCAAGAAGATTCAAGAAGCAACCCGCGAAATGCAACGCTTGTCCTTCGTCATTACTCTTCGTCATTCTCGCTGTGACCTCGCTGCTTTTTCAGTTTGGGACAAGCTCTCCAAGTCGCGACGCGTGTCAATGGCAAGTGGGGCCAATTCAAGCGCACCCCAAGGTTTCAAGGTCCGCCGTCAACAGCATAAATCACCCGGCCAACAGCAAGCATCTGCCAGTTGGCTTGGGGGCTAGCTGTTTGCAAGTGGAGTGACTCCATTCGGCTAAGTCGGCACGGGGTCACTTCCAATGCCAAGCCTTCCAAGCTGCAAGCTGCGCTGTAGCTCGCTTGTGGGATTCAGAGTCCTTTATGAGTCAAACTTTCCCCTTCCCTTTCCCCTTCCCCCCTATCGTGGCCTGGACTCATAGTCCGGTTCCCACCTCAACCTTTTCCAGCACTCATTTTCCGATGAACCTCCAATCAACTCCATGCGTGCAGTTTGAAGGGCGGCTAGCTGCACATGCATAACTCAGAGCTATGCACAGTCCTTGTGTGCATTGCGGAAAATAACAATCATGCAGCCTCATCCACCCTCGAGAGACTTTATGCGCTCGTGCAACCTCAATCCACACATCACTTCGCGAATTCCGTGAATGTTCTGAGCTTTCAAGACTTTGCAAGTCTTTCGCCCAAGCTTCAAGCTGGACCTGGGAGCTCTGAACACCCCAGGCGTTTCTTTGCAGTTGGAACGCAGACTTCAGACTTCTCTGTAGGCTCGAGCGGCAGCTCCAACAGGCGCAATACCAGCCCCTCGGCAGAGGAGAGACGCCACGTTGGTATGCGTCGCCGCATAGAGACTGAGGCAGATGACGGTGATGCAGTTCCAGCCGATGCGCAAGGAGTGAAGATAGAGCGATGGATTGGAATGAACATGGAATGCGGGAGCACGGGTGGCATGGGTAGCACGGGTTTCGAATCGCAGGGAAAGTGAAGAGTGGCTTGAGCGCCGGCAGTGCCCGACTCGGTGTGAGCCGTTTGAGCCCGATGTCGAGAGTTTAGGTTGCCTCGCACAGAAGGCTCCTAGGACAGTAGCCTGGGCCCCGGAAGTCTCCAGGCTCACGAAACCGACTCACGCGATTCGCACGAATTTTCCATGGCCTTGCTCAGGCCACGACTGTCGGCGCGAGATGCAGAGTGTGACAGAGACGTGACATGGGGCGCGTGACAGGCAGGCTTTTGGTGAACCTTGTTTTCCAAGTCCTGACTCTGTCACCCTGCCAGGTTAAACTGAGCACAGTCGGTTGGTGCCGCGGGTCTCTTGCGTTTGCGTTTGGGCTTATTGCAATGATTCAGCTTTGTTCGAATGAGCTTGTGCTTTGACGTGACCGTGTCAAGCCGAAGAAGCGGATTAAAGGATACCTGGCCTAATTGTCGGGAGGCGTGACCAGATCAACAAATGCACATCTTTATGGAGTCGTCAAGTAACACGCCTCCGGACTTGCACGCACAGTTTCAAGTTTTGCACCCTTTCTGCCGTGCGCTTATTTAGTTGGACTGGGCCTAGAGTATGTTTTTTTTTTGGCGAAATTTGGATGATTTAATCTGAGCAAAGCTCTTTGTCCGCCCTCTTGCTTGTCTTCGCTCCTTTGCTCCTTTGCTCCAATTTGCACGGCAGGTTCTGCAGGTGCGTGATTTAAAGGCCGCCAGGGGTCCACAGCTGACAGCAGATTACCAGACTGGCCCTTGTACAGCGGAATGGAGAAGTCCAGCTTGCGTAACATTCGTCACATTCACAAAGGCCATCTCAATGGCCATCTCAATGGCCATCTCAATATCTCAATGGGCTCGCACAACTGAACTTGAGATATCTTGAGAAGTAGAGACGTTGCCAGCAAGCATTGCCACCATGTGTTGGGAAGGGGCGGCTTGTGGCTTTGGGATTAGGGGAAGCACCCAGTGATGTCGTCAAGAAGCTTTGACGCTGGGTGTCTTCTTTCATTGGCACAGCCGCTTGCATTGTTGTAAGGTTTGGGGAGCAACCAGCCGATAGAGACGCTGAGGCCACACTGTGAGGGCCGGGAGCTGTTTGCAAAGTGTCTTTGCGCAGGCTGGCAAATGGGCCTTTGTTAAATGTGGAGGGGGATGCCTAAGCGTTCTCTATGTAGAAACTCCTCGCCCAGACTGCCATCATATCAGAAATGGACATTGCGGGAGCATGACGGCGCCCCGTTGGAGATGGCAATCTGGTGCGAATAGTGGTGCTTCATGCACCGGAATTCGCTTGACTGCTCCTGGAATCCGCATTTGAAGCGTAGCATTGCGGCAGCTGTGGTTGAGAGCAGCATGACCCCATTACAGGCGGCTCGGGGTCAAGAAGCACCGCGACAGTCTCCGATTTTGCAGATCTCTGTCCAACTGAAGAGCGGCAAGATCAACTGATAGTGTAGCTGTTTGGCCAGATGGCTTTTTTGGAGGGATCTGGAGCTGGTCACTGGAAAGCTTGTCCAGCGACTGGTTTTGAAGCACAGACTTTGCGAGACTAGCTGTGGTTGGAGTTTCGGAGTTGCTAATTCCGGGCCTATCAGCCTTTCTCAAAGCTGAGGCATTGCCTTGGGGCAAGAGGATCACAAGACATCCATTGGAACCGAGAGTTCCGTGAGTCATGCGGATGCTTCCACAAAGCGAAGCACCAGACCAGCCAAGCTAGAGCTCGTGCAACCCCGGTAAGGGGTCAAAAAGATCTGTCTTAGTGCCACTTAAACAAATGATGACATCCCGGATCTGGGCCCAATTGCTCTTGGAGCTTCCGTCCGGCAGGCGGACAACCCTGTCACCGATGACATCCAGACCAGGCAGTACCGATCACCTGAGGCGCTTGCTCGTGCTTGCTGCTTTTGCTTTTGCCCCTGCGGCTCCCAGGTCATCATTGGAGCTGCTTGGGACCAGACTGCAGACGCCGGGGCTTTGGCGCGTCCATTCGAAGTCGGCCTGCCAGCTCGCGTACTCCCGTAGGTGTGGAGTGCCGCCTGCATGTTCTTCGAGCTCGCCACGGGGGACTTCCTTTTTGACCCCAAGACGGGGGATGCCGTGGTCACAGACATGTCTGGCACTAGCCAGTGCAACCGAGTGCAACTGTTTGGATGCTCAGGACTGGGATCGAGATGAAGATCACCTGGCTCTCATCGCAGAGTTGCTAGGAGATCTTCCATCCAAGGCCCGTCGGCAAATTGCCGCATGTTCAGCTTTCTAAGCGCCAAGTTGGTTGGCACAGGAGTTCTGTTTGTCGGGGAAGTATTCCAAGGACTGGAATGTATGAGGGAATGCGTGATGTTCCGAGTGAGCTCGCAGGACTTCTTCAACAACTCGGGCAAGCTGAAGCATATCAAGAACCTGAAGAGCAACCGGCTGGTTTGCGAATGGGCCACCGGCTGGCAACAGCCGTGCTTGCTAAATCTCACAGCGTTGGGACGTGCGCGCGCTTTACAGGATGTGGCCTCTTTACGGGGTGCTGTCAGAGAAGTACAAGCTTTCACCAGAGGACGCACAAGAGGCCGCGCGCCACACAGCATACCCCATTTGGCAGAATGCACCGCAGATGACGGACTTCCTCATGCCGATGCTCTCTTGGCAGCCTGCCATGAGGCGATCGGCCACAGAGGCGATGGACGGGCTTTCGCATGCCTGGTGTTTTTGTGGACACTTTCCTGAGGCCTTGAAGCACCCTTGGGTACAGCCAAGAGAGGGTGAGGTCGATGCCGGGCACCCATTCGACGTGAGCGACGTTGCGTGTCGAAGCCATCAGGAGCCTGTTGCGAAGGAGGCGCCGGCCCAAACTCCCGAGGCTCCCGAGGAGGCACCTCCCGTGTGCCGTGTCGTAGTTCTTTAGTTCTTGGATTCCCTGAATTCGCCCCTAAGTTCTTCAGACTCTGAGACACGTAGAGTCTTAGTGCCAGGCATAAGGTGCAGCTCCTTGAGCCGCGTCAGCCGCGTCAGCCGCGTCAGCCGCGTCAGCCGCGTCAGCCGCGTCAACCGCGTCAGCCGCGTCAGCCGCCCAGTGCTCCGGTCACCGCGAATAAAAGGGAAAAGTGCGAGCGCGACTCGGGTGGTGTGGCTACCTGTTTCTAAAGGCACGAGTGGGCATGAACTAGAAGCGAAAGCAGTCGAACAAATCGTAACCAAGGAATCCAAGCAAAGAAACGTTGAGTTGGTGGGGGTGGGCCTTGTGCTGGGGCCTCGCAGGCCGGAGGAGGGCATGGGTTTTGCGTGCATCGCCCTTGCAGACAAGTCGAGCAGTGAGTGACTGTCCATGAGAAATAGAATACTTCTTGGATAATTTCTTCCTTGGCAGTAGGACTTAGTTCGTGGTCATATTGTCCTTTTCTTCTTTCACTTCTCTATGTGGGATCTTGGCTACCTTCGGTCTTCGGTGATTGACAAGCTGGGGCCAAGAGAGTGAACCAAAGACCAGGAATGTCCATTCTCCCTTCATATTGAAAAAATAGTTAAAGGAATCTTCACCTCTCCCCCACCAACCATGTTTCTTTTCTTGGCTGGTGAGAGGGGAAGGAGATTGAGGATAGGATGGCACAGCCGCTAACCCGCGAAACAAGCCGTTTCTGTCCCTTTGGTCACGCTCTCATGAAAGAATCGAGCGGATGATAGGGATGGGGAAGAGATAGGACAAGATACCAAGAGCCTGTGTGCATCAGATAGTTAGATCAGAGCATCCTTTCACCTATCTCTACTCTCCGCCAGCTCGCTTCTCAGTCCTCTCTGTGAGGCGGTACGGGTCAAAAGTAACTCCTGGTTCCTTTCCCCGCAGTTAGAGGCTAACATTTCGGCTGCTTTGATTGTCTCATGTGTGTTTTGTGTTGTGTTGGAAATCAGTGTAAAACACCTTGAGAAAAAGCATTCATTTCAGACCCTATGTATCCGTGTTGGCCGAGCTAGGGTTTGACATGTGTTGTTTTCTTTTTTGGCTTCTGAGGTAAGAAGAACATCTCCCCGCAAGAAGGAAACATCTGCCATCGCAGCCTCGGCATTTCACTCGCTATCCACACTTGCATTCTATTCATCTTAGCTGGAAGAAACAGCCAGCGGGTCTTTCCTAATCAAGTTGTACCAAGATTATAAAGAATATCTAATCAGAACCCTAGATACTTGGAGCAACCAGCTTGTCTTTCCTTCCTATATTCTCGTTGTACAAGTTATTATGAAGTTCTAACTAAGTTCCAGTTAAATGTCCAATCAACGTCTTTTGTTGAAAGGAATTCCCGTTTAGAATTGGAAGCAATTTATGCTTACAAAAACACTTAAACACAACACATATGCAACTTCTAGTTGATGACATATTTGCACAATATCCCACTTAACATCTTAATTAGCAATTACATTCAGTTTTCCAAGCAACTTCTATTTGGAGCTCTGCGTGGAAGGGAAGTGCTAATCAATATCTAGTTCAAAAAACATGACTTGCATTCTAGTCGAAATCCAATTTAAACGTAAAGCCTCGCAATGCAAACCTTACAAACAAATTGTAATGACATCAAGTTGTCCAAGGTTTTTTTACTGTTGGTTCGTTACTTTTTCAGGGGCTTGCAAATTAGAAGAAGCAACAAGTGTCCCATTCCATATTAGATTTCCAATTAAAATCCTACTTGGAAAGGGAAGCCAATCAAAAGTCTACTTCAGCATATTATGTTAACTTGACATCTAATGAAGATATTCAAACTTGAAGCGTTGCAATCTAAAGCTTGTAAACCAAGAGCTGAAATTGCATTTCCCTTGAGTTTCTATTGGTTTGTCTCTCCTCTTGAGGGGCAGTGAAATTAGATGAAACAACCAGCTTGTCCTTCCATGCAGGAGAACATTGTAGCTGAACAATTGCGAATGTTCTTTGCGAACATGGCCGGATTACGCATTTGAAGCAGCAAGGCTCGCATGTGCGAAGTTCCCATGCAGGCAATGTAGATAAATCAAGCTGGCCTGAGCGCCTTGAATAGAAGCAAATGTTTAGTCAAAGGTAAAGGAAGAGAGACACAGACAAGGAAACCGTGCTTGTGAAGAAGGATCAATTTGGTTGAGCAAGCGAGTAAAGCAACCAACACATGGAACATGAAAGATCAAACTGACAAAGGAGTATCGATAGGATAATTTCATAGAATTGATTTGGGCAGGGAATGTCATTTTGGGAGCGAAGGATGACAGCAGAAAGGGACAAGCCGCAAAATATTTCGTGTGAAGTGCCATTCGGTTGGACAAGACTTTGTATTGTTTTCTTGAGTCTGCAGAAGCTTGGAAGTCAACAAAGCCTTAAGAACTCTTAGCCAATGTCAATATCTCAGGCCCCCCAGGGTCTTTCTTGGTGAATGAAGGCTAGGGATTCCAAAGAACGAGTCAGCATTGAGCTTGGCTTGGCGTTTGTGAGTGGCTTCCTCAAGCAAGAACCTTTAAGCAGCGAGAAAAATCATGAACACATCCAGATTAGCCTCATATTGAATAGAGGGAACCTGCTTTTCCCAGATGTGGTCGTTTTCTGAGCCATTTCTTCGTTTCCACGGGGTCTAATTAAGAATTCCAGCGGCTGGCCTGGCTCAAGTCCGGCGACCAGAGTACGGCAGGAAGAGGGAACCTTTGAGCAACAGCCAGACGAAATCCACAAAGGAATCAGAGCTTCAGGGCTTCAGCTTCAAAGCATCGTCCGTCAATGGCCGCCTCCATGCAGTCCCCAAGGCAACATGAATCCTTTTCGAGGGATTGCCACGCCCTCACTTGTTATGCCAGTTTGCTCTGCCTCGAAATGCTATGCTGTAGCGTTGCGGAATTCGCTGAGGCGTTGGGTGCCTTGGAGTGAGTTGGCACGCATGCAGTGTATGAAGCGCGGGCCCGGGCGAATTCGATCCGTTGACCTTGAGGTGTGCTGACATCCGTCCTGTACTTCCAACCAGACGCTTCAGCCGCTTCAGCCTACTTGCCAGCAGGCTTCGCAGGATGGTTCAAAGGCCGGGCTGAAGCATAACGATGCCTTGGCTTCAATTGATTTCAATTGAACGATGCCTTGGCTGAGGCATAACACCTGAAGCACCAGCCAGGGCATCAGTTCCTGACTCACCGCTTTGTGAAATGCAGGGATCGCTAGCAATTTTTGCAGCTTCACAGCTTGCAAGGACCCCTGCCCTTCAGCTGGTGTGGTTGAGCAGCGCGCTGGCCCAAGTTTGTCAATGAAGATGTTCTTTATTGGCACGCTCTCGCTAGCCGCAGCTCGCGAATAGGCAAGCAATTCGAAGGCCATGCTGACAAATTAGAGGCACTACTTTCCGAGGACGCTTGCACGGCTTTCATGCCCTGCATTCTGGCCCACCCAGCAATTGTTTCAAGAGTCAAAGCGAGATCAGGATCCTATAGCATGTGGTTAGTGCAAGAATATTTTGTCAGGAGCGCTGCCCATTCATCGCAGCGTTTTTTTCCAGTTCGTCGCCCCTCTCATCACCGGAGTTGGCCTTTCTCTGAGTGACATCTCTATGGCTGATGAAACGTTTGCCCAGACCAAGGCTGTCATGGAGCAGAGACTTGCATCCTCTTTTCCTAGATTGAGATATGCCGCTCAATACAACTCTGAAAAGGAGGATACATTGAAATCAGTGCATGTGCAGACAAGGTTCACGTGGAGACTGAATTCATGACCATTCGCTCATTCTTACAGCTGCTCGGCAAAAGGAGCATGAACCGTTTGTCGGATGCTGACTTGGTACTGGACAGGTGGGATATTGGCTTCCTGCCCGCCTACGTGATGTTCTGGCCTGGTGAGAAGGGTGGACCTTCCAGCCGTGCATGGCACCGCTGGCAGGGCAAGCATGCGAACCCTTACGCCGCTTGGCAAGACACTTGGGTCAGATGTGAGTTCGGAGCTTGGGTGCGAATTTTGGGATCTTGGCGTTAGGACTATGGCGAGGTGTCCGCTTGGATCACGCAGGTCACAGGCCGCATGCGGAGTGCACTTGAACGGCCACATGACATTTCTGAGCATTAGGCCTGCTGCCACAGAACGCCACACAGATAGAAGTGATCCCACCACCCCGGGATGCCAATCCTTGGCTTCTGGTCGGCTGGACACTAGCGCCATGGCGAAAGAGATGTTTCCTTGAGGCGTGTGCCATGAGTTATTCTTGTCACAAGGTCACATAGGTTGCTTTCTTGTTGCTTTCTTGTTGCTTTCTTGTTGCTTTCTCGCCTTTCGTCCTTGAGCCGTTTGCTCAGGTGGCTCTTGCCGTTCTGCACAGGGCTCTGAACTGGCAGCCCATCTTCGGCTAGATCGCGACCGAAAGCGCAGCTTTGTACTTGCTCTTGCAAATGATTGCATATGTTGCATCCTGCATCAAATGTGGACTGACCGTCATGACCATCCATTTCCGTGTCAGTCGGATGTATTTCTTTGCAGCCTTTGCGGCTCCAACACCTCGGCCCATTTTGACTTGGCACCCTGATCCCTCGTTCCAACATGGCAATGCGACTCGGATAGTTTCAGGGGTTTCTCCTGTCCGCGCAGTGGCTAAGCCTTGAACTGCGTGCTAAGGACAGGGACGATCAAGTCTTTTAACCCCCACAAGGCCCATGGGACGAGGGAGGGCCATGCATCTGAAGCTATGAGTGCCCAGGGGTGGGGTTTCATCGAATGTGGTGGACGAGACGTGTTCCTCTACAAGAGGGATTTGAAGGGCGTGTGCGTGGAGCAAGGTCAGCAGGTCCCGGACTCAAAGGTTTGTATTTTGTATCGTGCTTGGTTTGGATTTGAGGTCCAGTTCACTATGATCCAGAACGAGAGAGGACCGCAGGCGCAGGACGTGACCGTTCTGGTTTCGCCAGACCAAGCCAGCTACTTCGGTGAGATCAAGTCCTTCAACCCAAACAAAGGACGGCGAAGCAGTGCTTTGGCTCTATGCAAACGGCAATGCCATGCAACATATTGCAACATATTGCAACATATTGCAACATATTGCAACATATTGCAACATATTGCAACATACATCAACAGAAAGTTCCTCCAAAGTTGCCAGCGGCAGGATACGGATTCATCACTAGCGAGGCATTCCCAGGGCAAGATATTTTTGTCCTCAAGACAGATCTGCCAGGCTCGGAGTTGGCCAAGTGTGAGTTCAGAAAGCCCTTGCTCAGGCGGACAAGGTCCCGCCGGGGGTCTTTGCAAGTTCAAAGTGGTCATGGAGGCTCGAACCGTGGCACAGGTGCCCCCATATCATGCCGTGCGATTGCGTTCTCACACCAGGCCAAGGGGGCTGCTGCCAAGGAGGTGATGTTACTGGGGGCTGCCAGCAAGCAGATGGCCATGATGAGGCAGGAAATCAGATGTAATCATGCATCCACCTGGGCAGAGATACGGGAGTTTGAGAAAATCTCGGCTGAGGATGGGCATGATGGGGAACATGGGCGCAATGATGAGCGCCATGATGGGGATGATGGGCGCCAAGGGCGGCAAAGGCATGGGAAAGAGCAACATGGTGTGGCAGCCTATGTACATGAAGAAGGGCATGGGCAAAGGAATGATGTGAGATATGTGAGATGTGTGAGATATGTGAGAATGTTATATTGACCCTGACTTGGGCCGGGACATTCAAATGTTTGGTCAATTTTGTGAAGTGCTTGTGTGCTCCCGGGCTACAGTCGCAGCACAAGGGCAATAGGCCCTGTGAGCTTCCGGGCTGAAAATGTCAGACGGAAAGGGAAAGCTCCCAGCTAAGACTGGACGGAAATTTGTGTCATGCGAGGGGCCAAGTTTGCCCCTCAGCGAATGGTATTGTGCCATTCTGGCTCTTGGGCCACTTGACGCCAGCACCCAATGAAAGCCCCGCCCGGCTTGAGGCAAATCGTTAACTTTGGTATTGTGGCCTGGGCAACTCAACGAGAACACAGTTCTGCCTCAAATGCGTTAGGCAGAAATTCGGATTGGCTGATGGACCAGCCCATGCTTTTGGCGGAAATCAGTTCAAGTGCAGCTAGCTGTGCTGCTCTTTCCTTGTGGCCCGGTGGTGATCCATTCTACTATTTTTCCATGAGTCATAAGCCGCTAGCTTTTTGCTCAGGATAGGAGTCTCCTTCCTTAGCGTTGGAACAGTTAATTGTACAGGTCGGTGGTCAGCGTTCAGTTCCAGTTTGAAGTGTTCTCAGTGACAGGCTATCCCGCAGTGGAAGCATGTCTGCTGCCCTCAAGGCCTTGAGCTGTACAGCGTGTCACTCCTCACCTCTTCACCTTTTCAGGTGGCCCTCCACTTCGGGGGACTACTTCTGGTTATCCTGGACACTTGGTGTGCGTTTAGAGACTCGCCCTCCAAAGTTACCAAGCCACGAATGAGCCCGTATGCATGGCCAGGATTTCTTGCTTTGGGTGATCACATTGGGTCAGAAGCTTAGAAGCTCAGAGTCTACAGCAGTTTGCAACACTTGGAGCAGGCCCCATTTGGATGCTGCTCAAGAGCATGAGTACAGTGGCGGAGTTCGCAAGTGACTGACCCGGACGAGCAAAGTGGACGCAAAGTTGAAAGCCGTAGTCACACGCAAGGGCCCGCGAAGAAAGCCAAGATCAATGGCTCGCTTCCAGCTTCAGATGTGCGCCCGGGGGCCTTGGCTTTGCTTTCAGAGCTTTCACGTTTCTGAGGTGTGGCAGGCGATAGAGGCTCTCGATAACGGGAAGCTCACATCAAGCCCGTTCCCAGACGAGGCCGGGACAATGCCAGCTATGAGCTGCAAGGGCCCATCACCTCAAATGACTGAAGCGACTAAAAGCGACTAAAGCAGGGAAGCACAGTGAAACATCGCGCAACTATCTAAAACTCTGATGCACAGTGATACTTGGCTGGGCTATGCACTTCTAGGGTGTACAGACCGTCACTGAGATCCTGGAGCGATCTATGAAAAGACCTGGCCTCAAAGCCCAAATCCCTGAAGCTGTCTGAGCATGCACCAAGGATATGCCAAGAAGCAGGCACAAGGCACTCGCCCGCTGCTGTCTTGGAAGAAGGATATGAGGGAGCAAGCACCAGATGAGACTGAGATCGACTTGGCCAGGACGAAGGCTACAGATTCCCTGCCAAGGCACAAGGCGCCCAGGGAGACCGTTGGCTCTGAGCCCCGAGGTCTTTGGCCCCACGCAGTGGCGGAGCTACGAAGAGTTTGGCCGCCTCTGTAAGGCAGAGCCGACGAATGTGTTGGTTCTGTTGACATGTTCACATGTTTTGTCTAAGAGGAGTTCGGAGCTGGACTCAGAGCAATGGGCTTCCAGTCCGAGGCTCAGGCGTTTCTTTCCCAAGCCGCTCGTGTGCTCGCGTCGCGCTTGAGGCCGCAGCCGGAGGGAGATTTCGATAGCCTCTCGGGGAAGTTCAAGATCCTGATGTACGAGGATGGGATAGATGCATTGCGATGCATTGCGATGCATTGCGATGCATTGCGGTGTGGCTTGGCAGGAGACCTGTGCAGACTGGCAGGTTTGCGCGCCAAGCTGCCGTGTTTCGACTTGCCATCGTCACATCACTCGCAAAAGCTCACGAATCAAGGGAGACCTGGCAAGCTGTATTGAGTTGTTGAACTTGAGTGCCGAGTGGTGCATGTGCTCTTTTGCCATGGGCATTAAACATTTGCAGGATTCGGATGCTTGCCAGGTATGGCGCAATGACGCAGAACTTAGTGGTAGCAACTGCGTACGCCACGCTTGGTACAGACGCTGTGGTGCACGCTGTTAATGAAGGTCGGCTTCACAGACTTTCACTGTTCGACGGCGACGCTTCACTTTTCATGTGCAGGAGCTGTCTCGGCGCTGATTTGCAACAGGAAAGCGGCTGAAGGTCTGGCCCTTTGGGCAACTGTGGCTTGTGTGAGATGCAAAGGCCTGATGAAAATTGCTTCGCAGATGCCTTCCCTGGAGGCCAATGGTAATGGTGAAGAGTGTAATGTAAGTAATGTATGTAATGTGGGGTGCTTGATGGTGCTTGATTTCTTCATGTGAGGCCATTATCTACTTGGATTATCTCTGCACGTCACAGCCGTAGCGCCACAAGCCCGAGTCCGGCACGCCGAGACTCGACGCCGAGGCCCGAAGAGTGCCAAACCAAGCTGCCTGGCGGTGGAAAGGTGAAGCTGCTGTCCTTGAGCTCCTGGCCTGCTTCAGAGTTGAACCCAAAGAAAAAGACTCCCCAGACTCCCCGTTTTTCATTTTCTTTCCCAATCCAATCCTGTTGAAAGGTCCAACATGTCCAATGTTTGGAATGAGACCGCATGCAGATGACAGCCCTGCAGGCAGGATGTTCTTGACTTGGGCAAGGCCTTGCTTCCCATTGCGTGGCACCCGTGCTTGGTCGCTTGGTCGGGCAGGCCAAGCCAGTGCCGCCCAGCCCTCCGAAGCCCGACTCCGTGGCGGTGCTCATGTGCTCCCCCACCCTCACAGACTCACAGACTCACAGACTCACAGACTCACTGACTCACTGACTCGGCCTCTGAGCCTCTCGCGCTTCTCGCCTCAAGAGGCGAGTGCAAGGTACACCAGCGGATCCACAGGTCCGCCAAAGGCGCCTCGCCGCCTCTCTCGGCCTCTCTCGGCCTCTCTCGGCCTCTCTCGGCCTTCGTAGGGCGTAGTCCTGCGGCACAAGCAGCTGGTGGCCTTCGTGGGAGCGTGTCGCTTGTGCGATTTGAGAGTCGAGGCGGAGGTTCAGGCTGTGAGACGTGAGAGTGAGGGAGGAATTAGTCTGAATGTCTGAAGCCAAATATGTCGCAACACAAGCTCACAAGCCGAACCAATGAAGCAAGCCAGGTTTCATTCAGTTTGGGGGCCTGATCAAGGACGAAGGCTGGCCCTGCCCATGCAATCATCTCTTGGCAGCTTGCTCGCACACGCTTCAGGTGGAGAGACCTTCCTTGGGTATCTTCCACTGGCCCACATTCTGGCGGTTGTGGCAGAGCTGTGCCAAACTCGGAGACAGAATATGCAGAACATGTGGTTCACGTTTCATGAGAGGTTCTTCTACAGTACCGGAAATCGCATTGGATACGCAGATCCCAAGAGTCTCCTGCCAGGCACGAGAGTCAAGTTGGAACCTGATTAATAAAGGGCCCCCCCCCTGAACAATGGAGGCGCCGAAATAATGTGGGCTCACTTTTGGGACGTCCAAACAATGGAGGATTTTGGGGCCCAATTCTACTTTAGTATTGCAACCACTTCTTCCTGAGCAGACTTTTTTGGAATACTACTTTAGTATTGCAACCACTTCCCTTTCAGTTCTTTCTGTAGCCATTCAAAGGGGTGTGCCACCAATTGAAAGGGGATGCTTTTAAGCAAGTGGGCCACCAATTGAAAGGGGATGCTTTTAAGCAAGTCGGCCACCAATTGAAAGGGGATGCTTTTAAGCACGTGGGCCACCAATTGAAAGGGAAATGCTTTTGAGTAAAGCAACTGATAGTTTTCTTTTTGGGAGGGGGGGCTGGGGGCTTGCAACTAATGTGGTCCCCTAAAATAATGACATTATTGTGGTTCAGTGGGGTCTGTGAGGGGTACCCTTGTCCTGATTGTTGTTGTTGTTTTGCATTTTTAACACGGTTTAATAAGAGTTTGCAGTTTCAGGGCTGGGGATGGTTTTCACATTTCAGAGGTTTCAGCTGGCTTTGGGATCTGTGGTTGAGCAGCCAATTGATTTTGGGTCAACATGGATTTTGGGTGATTGTTTGGGGGGTATGGTTTTTTAAGTGAAAGTTATTATTTTTTTGGAGTTTTCCCCCCGGGCAAAACAACTTTCAAATTATTCTGGTCCCCATGGGTGCGAACCAGGAGAACAACTTTCCATCGTCCAGTTGAAAGTGCCAACCGTACCCCGGTGCTCTCGGGCATCGCAGGCCCTGAGAAGTGCTACCCTTCGGGTGGCCTGGAGGAGTCCGGGTCCCCGGGTCTCCGGCTTCCGAAGACCGCTGAAGGGAAGTTCAGAAGTTCATTCCCTGAAGTTTTTGAATGGAAGTTTGAAGTCTTGGTATGTTTAAGTTCAGAAGTTTCAGATTGAACGCTCAGTTTGAATGAGTTTTGGAGTTCAGGTTCCAGCCCACGCTCATGGCTGGAGTGCCTAAGGCGAGCGGCAGTCGATCAGTCGATCAGTCGATCAGTCGATCAGTCGATCGCGATGCGCCGCGATGCGCCGTGCAGGTGTGGGAGACAATCAAGAAGGGCCGGCATCTCACTGGGTCGATGTTAGCTGTGAGCGCGTTTGGCCAGACTTGGCAAGGTGCGGAGCTGAAAGTTGAGAAGAGCGGAGCAGTGCCGCACCGCCTTGTTGCAGCTGAGCTGTGCGACGTTTGCTCTGCGCTTTTCTGCTTGAGGGTGTCCTTCCTCTTCAAACTGGCCATGCGAGTCAAGAAAGCAGCTGCTTTTGCCTGAGCTGATGCACGGCAGTGCAGCACGGCCCACAGATCGCAAAGTGAAGGTGCGGCAGAACCGCTACACGCCTCTGTTCGACTTGCTCGTGCTGCTCTCGATGTGTAGAAATCAGCAACGCAAGTCTGCAAGTGGCAAGGTCTTCAAGAAGTTCAAATCCATGCCCAGATCCTACAGATCCCAACCCCACTGATGGCCGGGCTAGATTGCTTAACTTGACAGGCTTGGTGGCTGCATGAAATTTACACTGTCTGGTGGCGGCGCCATCTCTCCAGAGGTGCAGGACCGCCTTCCAGAGAGAAGCGCGCAAGAGATGCATCACAAATGAGAATGGATCGTCATTGCTTCTTGATTTAAGTTGCAACTGCTTGACAGCTTTCAGCTGCTCCAAAGGAATGGGTCCGAGCTGCCTTCGGATGCCCACTTGTGCAGGGTTACGGCATGCGCCCGAGCAAAAGACAGCCGTGCACGGCTGGATGCAGAATGCGCAGAATGCGCAGAATGCGCAGACAATGGCTGAGGCCTTACAGAGACGTGCGGTGGTGCAGTGCCACCCTGGGCGAAGTTGCACAGTTAGCCGCACAAACTTCTACGACTCCAGCCAGCCAGGCTCCAGAAGCCGTTGGATGACTCATCCGTTGGATTTGTGGGCTCTCCCATGGCCTCCATTGAGCTCACGCTGCACTCGGAGTCCTGCGCTTGATTTTGTGTTTTCACCATTTTTCAACGACTTGGCCGTCAGGCCCGAGCTGACCGACATGGATGGCAAGCCATACTTGGCTACTGACCAGGTGAAGAGGGGGCAAGTTCCAAAAGCCGAGCAAAGTCAAAGGGTTCAATCTGGAAAGGTCCACGTAGATGGCTCCAGCTGCTGTGGTCGAGGAGAGATTTGGATGAAAGGCTGACTGCAGTGTTGGACTAATGCAGATTTCACATGATATTAGTCATCCCCTATGCTCCGCAATGTTCGATCACAGGTCTCTCGATTGCGTCTGGCTATTACAAACTGCCTGACAAGACAGCCGCTTGGCTGAACAGCTTGGATTTGCGCTGCAGGGCGATGATTGTGTAGTGAGGCAGAGGACTTTGACAAAGATGGGTGGCCAAATGCTTGATTACTTACAAAGTGTTGCACTGGCCTCAACATGTTCCCCTCAGGTTCCACTCTGGCGACATTGGTTTGATAACACCAGAAGGTCGGGTGCTGCCGTTTCTCTTCGGCACATCTTCCTTCACAGGCCGCGTCAAGATCATTGACCGCAAGAAGAATCTGGTTCGCACCTCAGCCTTCAGTAACAGCAAGCGGGGCCTCAAGTGATATCAACGTCATCAGGTCAAGCTGAAGGGCGGTGAGTACGTGGCCCTGGAGCTGATCAATGTGCGCGCTTTCAACTGTCCCTTCCCGAAGATTGCGCTTTCAACTGTACCTTTGTTTGGCGTTGGATCAATGTCAGTGGGGCAGGTGACGTACAACAACAGTTCCATCATCAATGCGGATGCTGGAGGCCAGGATCGCTGACTGCCACTGCTAGATGCTAGATGCTGATCTTAGCGTGCAAGATCGAGGCAACTTGCATTTTACAATGTTTTACGTACCGTTTTCTTCGAGCAGGTGTTTGCAGTATCTTTCAGGTGTTTGCTCTTTTGCCAGCTCCGAGATTGACAGACCGGTCATACTCGCCCAATGCGGCTTGGCGGGATTTTTTGTGACGCACGTTTTGATCTCCCTGCCCCGGCGGCCCAGCCAAGGCAAGAAGAAGGAGCTGCTGGAACTGGCTGCTGAGAAAGGGGTCCGAGCCCATCATAGCCCATCCCAAATGCTGAGATGAAAGTTTTGAGACGAAGGTGACAGGCAAAGACGGCGAAGAGCTGTGCAGAGATCCCAAGGCCAGTTGCTCAAGCGCGGAACCATGGCGCATCATAACCTCCATGTTTGAGATTGTCAAATTTGTTGCCACGGGGCCGCAAGGGGGTCGTGGGGTTAGGCATTTGTCTGCATTTTCAGGGATGGACTAGGGTGGGGCGCCGGGGTAATGTTCATCCAGTTTGAATGCGTGCATGCAGCACTTGTTAACCTTCGGCATGGCGGAAGGGGCAATCCACGCATAGTGGCAAGATTGTGCACCGGACGCGTTTTTCTTATTCTCCTGACCCACAATACAAGGTCACAAGGTTCCATGGCAAAACAATATGATGCCGTTGTGGGGCTGCCATGTCTCTTGAGCTCAGTGCGCACACAGGTTATGGCGGCAGTGAAGGCAGTTTTGGATCCCATAGCGAAGGACCTGTCGCCTTTCTTTTGCCTTTTGCGCAGGCATGCTTGAACTTTCAAATTGGCAGGAGCACAAGCTTCCAGCGCTGATGCAAGCCATAGCCGTGATGCCGGTCTTGGAACCATGGACCGGGCTGACTTCTCACTTCTGGCCATGCCTATGCAGTTCATCGAAGTCCATTTGTTCCGCACAAATGCACAGTGCAGGACGGCTGAGAACGGGTGCTTGACCGCAACCTCCAAGCTTGTGCCTGAGAGATCAGCATGGGTGCGACTTGCTGAACTCAGCGCGCATATCATGTTTGGCACTCAGGTTGGTTCCGAAGCAGATTTACAAAGCTCATGCAAAGGACAACCTTTGCGTCTGGATTTGGGTGCATGGGCAGAAGTTGCAGTGTTCTAATTTCATCCTTCAGGACCTCGATATACTGATGCCGTGCAGCTGGCTTGTGACTGCATTTGCTACATGTGCAAACCTGCTCAATGCATGATGAGACTCTGTGCCAGGATGGCAATGAAATGAGCGCCATGAAGTGAGCATACAACTTGGTTTGATGCGAAAGCACATTCGAAAGACGAAATCCGATAATTTCAAAACATCCACCAGCAGAGCTGGTGAAGCCGGCTGGCGGACATATCTGTTAAACTTGGAGCAACTGTATACCTAATTACCTGATGTGATGAACCTGTGTGTGAAGTGAAGCGCAGTTGTTTTCCTCTGGGCAATGATGTACTGTCTACTGTAGCTGTACTAAGGCAGGTCTGTACATAGGCTCAAGGCCTTGGGATGTATGGGCAGCGGATGTAGCCCAACTGTACTGCTAGAGAAAGCATGTAGTATTTAACACGCCTCCTCAGGATAATGTTGTGTACATTCTCCTGAAATGTTGAAAATGGATGTTGCCACTGTACAAAAGATGTGTACCAAGCTGTGCAACTTCCTTGTGGGTCGTGGTGTCAAAAGCAGGTGTAAAACAGCTGCTGTTTCAAGCAAATGCTGTATCCAACTGGCCGACTGTGCCACTCATGTGTACCGCCAAAAATCGCAGTTGTGTGAACCATTTCTTGGGCTCTTTCCAGACACTGCTGTAACCTCGTCCATGTTGTCTGCTGCTGCGATGAGTTCCTCGCACGACGTGTTCACCTGGCTGATGTACTTGAGGATATGTAGACCCGAGTACTCAATCTTGCAGTCTGTAGGTGGCTCAAGCTGGTAATCCCAAGCCAAACCGTTGGTCCATGAAGATGTCGAGGACATTCTATTGGCAAATCTTGCGCTCTGAAGAGGTAGGTCAAAGTTGTGAGAGCATCAAATGGACTGGTGTTGTAGATCATGTGCTCGCAAAATGGCCTTCTCATGTTGGCCTGCAGTCCAGTGTAACCACCATTCAAACTGTTGTATTCTTTTGCAGTAAAATAGAAGCGATGTACAAAACACCGTTTGTGCCTGTGGCCTTCTCGATGTGCCACTCCATGATGTTGCGCGCCTCCTTGCCGTTGACGCAATTGATGTTGTGAAATCCTACGAATGTCATCGATGTAAACAAGTGCGCGCCGTATCGCCTTCCGGTGTGCTCATCTGATGTAGCACGCGCTGTCAAGGCCTGCATGTCCATTGGTCCGATGTATCAGGAAGAATGTACCTCACTGATGTAAAAGGTAAAAAAGGTGCAAATCCATGTTTGACATGTATCTTGCAGAAAAACCATTGTAAGGGGGTTGTAGAACTCCCAGAAAAGATGTACCATGGCTCCGGATATCCTAAGTGAAGCTAAGTTGTAGGGCTTTCACTTTCGTTGTAGACAAGGAAAGGTGACCTGTGCAACTGTTGTTTAACAAACTGTGCTGACTACTGTACTTACTGGTGTGAAACGGTTGCGATGGCCTCACAGGCCAATTGTGTGCATGTGCCTGTTGAGAGTGTCGCAGCTGAATGTAGTTTGCTTTCTTTGATGTACCTTCTCGCATCGTGATTGACTTAGCTGCGCTTCTGTCTGTGTGTATCCTGATGTTGGTGCGTACTCCAAATGCTTCCTTGATGAAGTTGCTGATGTAGAGGCTCTCCTGTGCTGCTGCACCAGCCCTGACTCTGCTGATGAAAGTGCCATTGTTGCTTGTGCTATGCTTCCACAAGTGTATCGCTGCTCCGAACAAGTGTATCACAAATCCTGTTGTGCTCTTTCTTGTTGTCGCGCATGATGCCCAGTTGGCATCTGTGTGTGTATCGATGTTGAGTGGGATTCGCTTGTCCTGTGTCCGTATCTTTGGTTGCAGGTTGTGTCGCAAGTACCTTGTGCCTTTAAGGTACCTTATCATGCGCTTGAGCTTCTTGTTGTCAAACTATGTTGGTGCTTGTAGTGATCTTGCTAGTTCCTTTGCTCCATATCTGATGTCTGGTCGTGTGTATGCTAGCCATTGTACCTTGCCAACAAGCCGCCTGTGTTGTTGCTTGTGCTGCTGTTCGTGGTCGAGCGGTTCTTCTGCTGCACCTCTCATGTGTGACACTCCTGGTGATGGTGCTGGGTCGCATGTTGTCATTCCTGATTCTTCCCGGATGATGTCAACGCGGTTGTTGTTCAAGCTTATGTCGATGTAGTTGCCTTTGTGTGACATGCTCCTGCCAAGGCAATGTATTGTTGTGCCTACATTGCGGCTGCTTGTGTGTCTCAGCAGTGCTTCTTGCATTCTGCTGAACAGTGTGTCAATGATGCTCTGTAATCCTATGAGTAGGAGGTCGTCTACACAGATCATGATGTAGACCTGGCAGTCCTTTGACCTGTAGACATTGCTTTCTGTTGTGCGTCTCATAAGTTCAAGTGTAACTGTGAGGATGTGTGCTTTGCGGGCTTGCCATTATTTTTGGTGATGATCTTAAGCCGTAGATAGCTTTGTTCAGCCGCCACATTATGTGTCTGTTTGCTTCGTTGTAGGATTCTTTTGGTTGTCTTATTACCAAGTTGTAGGAGATTGCTGCTGCATGTAGGAATGCAACCCTGACATCTCCGGCACAGACTGACCAGTTGTACACAAGTGCCATTGTGAGGAGTACCCTCAGTATGCAAAACAGTGGTGTGCTTGCAAAGAGTAAGTCATGGTCTGTAACAGGTTCTGTGTAGCCCTTTGCTACTGTTCGCGCTCGTGCTTCGTTGTGTTTTGGTTTAAGAACCCATCTTGGGTTAATGATGTTTGCTTGTTGTTCTGGTGTCATTGTGTTGCCATCAATCTCTGTACAGACTGATTGGTCTTTCATTTGTTAAACTTCTTTCTTCACTCCTTGTGAAACGTGTTGCGGGTCCAAGCCTTCTGTGTCATGTGTGGTCGGCTCTAGTAGGATCCTTTCGTTGTCGATTTCTTCTGTGTCCTCGCTGGATGTTGTCTCCATTTGTTTGCCATCTCTGGTTGTAAACTTGATTGCATTCATCCTCATTTTTGGCTTTTTGGTTGTTCTGTTGTTGTAGCCGCTCCAGCGCCTGTCTGTCTGCTGTGATGCGCTGTTGCTTGTCTGTGCTGCCTTGTGCTATTGTGTTTCTCCTGTGTGTGGTGGTGCTGGCAATGCTGGTCGTTTCTGATGTGTCGGTGATGTAGCCATTGGTGATGTTGGCTCTTCTTCTGCTTTGCGCGCTGATCACTCGATTGTGATGCGCTCTGTCTCTTGCCTTCTGCTGCTGCGATTGTTGCTGCATCCTTCTGAGATGCGAGTGCTTTGCTTGCTGCTGGCATTGTAACTGGTGTTGTGAGAGTAGGTGTAGGCAGTGCTGATGCTGGTGTCTTCCATGGACCTGCGTGCACACAGTCCAGAAGTTGCTGATTGTATTTGTGAGGCACTATCTGCGTTCTGATTGTCCTTGCTCTGACAATCTTGTTGTAGGTCCCAATGAGGGGCTCGCCTGTAGCTGTATCCTTGCCAAGCCAGATCCCGTTGTAGAACCTCGGCTCGGGTTTTGGAAATTGTGTCACTGTTGGTAGCATGTACTGCACTGTCTCACCAAACTCGCGAAGTGGTGTATGCTGCTCTCGGTTCTATTTGTTGAAGTAGCTTGTGCATCCATTGCTGTGGGTCGCAAATCTGTTCATGATGTATGCACTGTGTTGAACTATCCAAGGCATGAGTGGATGTTCCATTCGAATGTCTCTGTTGCAGTTCTGCCTGGTTTGTACCTTGAGTGTTCTGATTTGCGCAAACAGTGTTCTGTGCGCTCGCTCTACTCCTCCTTGTGATTGTGAACTGTATGCTCCTGAGTTCCTTGTGGTGATGTTGCCATTCTTGTTTGCCACTGCTGTGATCGCTGTCAGGAAGTCTCCTGATCTGGTTGTAGTATGGTGTGTGATGTTCTTCCACATTCAATGAGGAAGTGGTGTAGCTGTGTGAGCAAAGTCGGTCAGTTGTGTGGCCATGATCATCCCTGGTTGGATGTCAATTGCTGTGAGGATTGTTGCTGTCATCAAAGCCCTTGCTGTAGCCGAGTAGCCGAAGCCAAGCTGTGTGGTTGGAAGCTTGCTGTGTTGCTTTGGGCGATTGTTCTGTCTGCCTCTTGCTTGTACGCATGTTGGACACCAACTTCTGTAGGGGAGGTGTGTTACGTTGTGCTCGAGTATTTCCTGTGGTGTTGGTTGCTTGGATGCTTGTACTGCTTTTGCTCTTGTGCCTTGCTGTTGCTCCTCATCATCTGACTCAAGTTGTGTTGGAAACTCCTGATGTTCCTCAAAGTTTGCCAGCCTGTCCAAGGCTTGTCTGATGTCTTCGCTTGCTGTGTTGTGCATTCATCTTCTACTAATCTTGTGTTGCGCTCATCTCCTACTGGTTGTACCTTGGTCTGCCGCCAGGTGTAAGTCGCTTGATGTCTGGCCCGTCATGTGTCTGCTCTGGTGTGTAGAACGCTGTGTGTGTGGCTTGATGTGTACTCTCTTCCAGTGTGGGCCTTCTCTGTGCCAGTAGTCTCCTCCATGATGTACTTCTGCAGGATGTGGTAGTCCTTGTCCAGCTGCACCTTTGGTGGTGTGTGGTGCTGCTGTGTCCTGTGCTGTTGGTGGTGTTGTTTTCTCTCTCAGTCGTGTGCGCGGATTGTACTGAATTACTTGTGGTGTGACCTTCTGTAGCTCGCTCCTTGGCTGTGTCTTTGTTGCAAACTGTTGCTGTAGTGTTTCTGGCAATGTTGTGCTTTTCTTGATCTTGAATGCTGTTTCTCCTTTCCACATTTGCTGTTGTTTGGAGCATCTGTTATTTGGTACTTGTCCTCAAACGTGTTCGTTGCGCCATCCTTGGATCTGATTCTTCTGTAGTCCTCAAGTTGTTCTGCTGGGACTGGACATGTCTTCCTGTATTGTCTGTGTGCTCTGACAAGCTTACCTTGTGTGTTGAACTGCCAGTAGTCTCCTGCATAACCTGTGTCTGCAGGACCTTGTGGTGTAAGCGTTGTGGTCGGTGCTATCATGCTAACCTGTCCTTGCTGTGTGCTGTGTATCTGCAGCTTTGTTCCTCTTGGCAGTGTTGTGATTTCTGCTTGTTGGAAGAACAGGCCATCTCTGTTCTCCAATGTGCAGTTGAATCCTTTGGTGTGCTGTAGTCTTGGATTGTCACCCA